GATAAAATGTACAAGCTGAATAACGTGTCAAGAATATGCACCTTCAGGTATCGAAGCAGTTTCAGCTGCAACCCTTGAAGACTCTCTAGAGTGTCCGAGTCGTTGCCTGTCCTCAAACCAAGTTTGAACCTAAAAACAAGTAATATGAGTGATACAAGTATTCAAGCAAGATAGAGAATTCAAGTTATGATGGAATTAGTTAATCGAAAGCAGAAGACAAAACCTCAGTCCACTTCACAACAGGTTTTCCAACACGACCACTGGAACAACTTCAAACATAAAAAATGGAATGCCACAAAAATATTTACTAAAGCAAGAACTAGTGATCTAAACAAATATTTAATTCACACATGAGATGCTCACTTGAAAAGTCTTGCCAGTTTCTTATAAAACTCCTCATTCAAAGACCGTTCGCTAGATTCTTTATGTAAATGCTCCATTTTCTCCACATGTTCGGTTGATCACAAAAGATAAGTACCCCCAATGGTCCAAATTTTGTACAATATTGCAAATAGCCCAATTTGACATAAAATTTCCCGGTAACAAATTGTGGATGATATCAAGTAACCAGAGCAATTCAAGTGTTTAAACTCGTTCGATTACAATTAACAATTTCAACTTTCATGACTGCCACAGAAGAATTCAGAACCACAGCTGATAAAGCTATGAGGAATAACTGTAACAATCCTAATTTCGAACTTTTCTTTTCGATTGTTTAGAACAAAAAAAGAGAGGAATAAATCGTTGATGTGTGAAGAATGAAGAATTCACCAACACATGATTCAAACAGCAAAAAATCTACATAATTAATTCTGATGGCTGAGGCTGCTGAGCTAATCTTTTATTTTTATTATCAGAAAAATTGGTTACCAGTCACAAGCAACTTACTGGATCATTAATATAATAATACCAAAACTCAACGAAAATATAACTGGAAAGACCCAAAAAAATCTATAAAAAAAAAATACCAAACTTTTTCAAAATGTGAAAATGTACCACTGTTAATGAATGATTAACCACACAAGCTTGCACAAAATACACGAGTATACATCACTTGAAACGTATGCACCCACCCGAACCACACTGAAGAAAAATCGTTTCAATTCATCGAAGAACCAATAAAATAAAAGCATAAAATGGCTATTAATTAGTTAAAATAGCTTACAAGTTGAACGATCAAGGAAGTTGGATGTTAAAAACAGGAATTAAAATTTTAAAAAAAAGGCAAGAAAGAAGAAGAAGAAAATATACCTCAGCTAGAGCGAAGCCAGAAAAGGATTGTCTTTGCCTTGGCCGAAGATCCATTTAATGCTCGATTATGCAGCCTAAAGCCTCAGTTTTGCGAACTGATTTTTGTGAACTGATTTTCTCAAATTGCACCAATCAATGTACAATTAATACACTCAAAAAGACAGCCAGATAGAGGGAGATTGATGTGAGAAATTGTGAGTTTTATAATTTTGTTTTGTTATGGGAAAATTGAGAAGAGAGAAGCCGGCGGGCCTCTTCCGCCTCGCCTCAGATCCGGCCCTGTCGCCGGCGTCGAGAAGAGAGAAGCCGGCAGGGACAAGAGAGAAGAAGAGAGGGACTTTGAGTTAAGAAGAGAGGAAGACATGGACAAAAACTAAAAACGGTGTTTCCCGTGTTTTCCAAATTTACTGTGTAAAACATTGAAAACGTCCAAAACGAGATTTTTCTTGTTTTGGTGTTTTTAGTACAATTTTTTTTTTTTGTTTTCGAAAATGCGTTTTCGAAAATAGGAAAGAGAACGCATTTTCACTGTTTTGAAAAGTTGAAAACAGAAAACGACCCGAAAACGGCAAAGAGAACAGGGCCTTAATTTCCTGGAGCTCCAAAAAAAATAGAAAACAGTAGCTAGGTCCAGTACAGAAGCTGAGTACAAAGCTGTGGCCACCTCTGTTGCTGAAATCATTTGGCTTCAGACA